AGAAGCCAGGAGCACTGCTCCTCATAGCATGCAACAAGACAAGATTAAACAAGCCACGCTACTAGAAAGCGGAAAGACAACATTTTTCTTGCCCTCTTAGGGCTTGAAATTTCTGAGCTGCTGTTTATTTGGTGCTTGGAACAGAAAATATTGATTGTAATAATATGTGGGTTTCTATGATGTTACTCTTTTTTCCTAGCTGTTGTAGAAGGGCTTTGCACATGGTGGCAAAAATTATTGCCCTCCTTGGACAGACACTCAGATAGGGAAGGATGACTTGCCCTTACAGTCAATGGGAAAACCTCTGGCAAAATCCAGCTCCCATCCTAGTGCCTTGCCTACTGGTCACAGTCTTATAGTGTATTGCTATAGCACTTCTCATACCAGTTTTTCAAGTGCTTGTAGATAGGAAGAGTCCACCTTCCTATATACAGAGGCACTGATGTAGCATAGGGTACCTCTACCTCCTGCTGTGCTTCTGCTACATATGGGGCACTGCCTCCAGACACTGCCATGACGAAAGGTGCTGTGGACAGTGGTAGGGGACACCATATGGTATCTCTGCATACAAGTTTGACTTGGCCATGATGAGACAAGCAAGGCTGGGGACCTTATTCACAGACCTATCTGTCTTCCCACCAGTGAAAGCAAGAACACAGGGTGGCCACAGGAGTCCTTGCATAAAGAAAGGTTTGCTGCAGGTACATGCAGCCATGCTCTGCATGGAGCACAGCAATTGTCTAACAGTACAAAATAACCAAAACCCAAGGTTCAGGACAGAAAGAGCAAGGAAAGGATTGACTGAAAGGGAAAAGAAGATGCCTATTGAGCTTGGTGCTTCCCGCATAAGAGAATCTACTTCAATATCTATGCCTACCAACAGGTTGGCAAGAAGCTTTATAGCACTTTCTTTCCTCTGAAAAATAAGTCTAATATTGCACAAGTGCATGCCAACAGTATGTAGATGTTCCAGAAATGTCCATTTCCCATGCTCACATCCACACCTCCATTAGCTCAGCATGGGAGGACTTGTGAAAGCTGAAAACAGAGGGCATGGATGGAGGCATTTCACAGGATTTCTGTTAACTTCCCATCCATATAACCCCTGGCACATTTGACAGCATTTTATGCAGAGGTCACCCAGACTTTGCCATCATTTTAGTTCAAACTACACTGCCACTCTCATGGAAAATTCTGGTGTAGGGGTCCAGAGGTGCTTTGAACTCAGATGTTGTGGGAACAGGTAACATCTCAGGATTTGCTATAGTGCAGACCTGAAGATGGGCACTTCCCAGATGACATCCTAGGAGTCATCCCACAGCTGCTCCTCACAAATTGCTCTCATGAGACAGAAAGTCCCCTCACAGCTGAGAAAGAGCCGTGAGGTATGGTCCCAGATGTGCCAAGACACAGCAGTGAAACCACTGACACTGGGAAACAGCTGGAGACGGACCCTTGCCCCATGTGCAGAGCCACTGGGCACCAGCGCGAGAGGCATTGGCAGGGCAGGCAGAGTGTGGGGGCTCAGGTGCAGGGCAGGTAATGCACAGCCAACAAGGATCATTGCAGAGACCGGTGCTGCGTACAGCCCGGTGCATACATATAAAATATCATTATGAGTGATATATGAATGTATCAACAAATCCCACCTGGCTAGTACACAGCCATTAGCATCTGGCACTTTGCTGTGAGCACAGGTGAATAATGGCTTAGGGGCATGTGCTTCAGGGTGAGGTTAAAAGGTGACTCCTGTATGGTGCAAGTGGATTAATATGACTGGACATGATGCCGGCTTTTCCCTTCACTTCTGGCAGTGTAAATCAAGAGTAACTGCACAGAAGTCAATACATGCATTAAATTCATTGGTACACAGGGGCTAAAAAGCACATGATTTTAAAAGAACATCTCGATTACAAGCTGGAGAACAGAAACAATGAAAAATGTGGCTGCTTTGCACGGCTTCCTGTGGTGCTTTATTATGGCCCTGCTCCTTCCATGAGAGCTCTATCCCAACAGGCGCCCTCACAGACTCATCTCTGAGAAGAGCTCCTACTGTCCTTCTTATTATTGCCACTACAGGGAAAGCCCATCTCCATTCTGTGGAGCAGAGGTCCCCCCTTGTGCTGACCTTGCTGCAGAGAAATGCTGGCTCCTGGGGAGGTGGAAGGAGATTTAGGCAATGCAGCATTAAACACAGACACAGTGGCTCAAGCCCCAGTGCCTAAAACTGGAGTTAATACCACTGGTGGCAAAAAGCTGTTGAATATATCCTGATATTATGAATAGGAATATTATGTATCTGCCTGGCTCCAGCTGAGCACAGCATGAAGGTGCCGTAGGTGGGTTTTCCAAAGCAGTACCTGGCTGCACAATGAAACCAGCCCCCAGCTCTTGAGCCTGCATACAGCAACGAAGACAGTGGTTAGCTGGTGAAGCTGCTGAGCTCCCCCAGCCACCCCCAGGCTCATGGATACGTTTACAGCAGGGCAGCCTGGGTTCACCAAATTGGGTACACCAGGTCAGTGACCAGCAGGGTGCTGAAAGTATTCTCAAATCTTGTCTCACCTTATTTCTGTTAACCTTTGATAGAAGTCCCCTTTTGGGGCTGCCAGCTTAGAGAGCAACCTGAGCACCCGGATGCTCTGGAAACAGTGCTGCTCACCACAGCCTCCCTCACCGGGGGACCATCACCACTTCAACAGGGAAGCACCCAAACATCTGCAGGGCACACTGACCCATGCTACGGCTCTCTGGCTAGCCAACCAGTGGCTACCAGACCTCAGGGTGAGTAAGCTGGAGCCTGGTGGGGAGTTTTAGTCCTGTGTATAACCGCTGACCCCAGCTATTTTGCAACTGACATTCTCCACTGTACCACAGTGCTACTGATGATGGGGATATAAAAGCCCCAAAAGCCACTGCCTCTTCCCCCATCCCTCTCAAGAGAGGAGGAGAGCCCAGGTCAGCACTAGCTCTGACTAGCCTGGGCTACCCAACCTATACTACCTCCAGAGGGGGCTCTTAATTGCCCCTCCTGCAGTAGGAGAGCCAGGGAGGAGAAGCCTTCCCTACATCCACATCTCCTGCCTGGTCTGGGGCAGAAGTAACTTTTGCCCTTTCCTCAGTGGCTGGGCAGAGCCAGTGGGACTGGTGTCAGGGACATCTTCATTGGAATCATGTAAGGAAGGAAATTCTCAGAGTGTAAGAGCCACTGTACAATCTTCAGTTGTGGAGTTGCCTTCCATCACAGACAGCCTTGCCATACAGAAGTAAATGCAAATGTAAATGCAAATTAAAATGCAAATGGAAACGCAAATGCCAGGCCTCCTGGGTTGCACTCACTCAGTGCTACAGAAATCCTTTGACCTCCCAGAAACATTCAGGTTGCTGCAAATACCCTAGTCCAGAGTAAAAAAAGTATTGCTTTTCAGTCTGTGTTCCTGCCTTTCTTGCCCTATATGTAAAACTGGCAGCTGGATGTCTTTGCATAAAAAGGCTATTTCTGCACTGTGTGCACAGCCTACTCCCAGCTTTAGTCACGCTTAGGGTCTTCCTGGCAAACAGGTGATTCATGGGGGATTATTGTGGGCACTAAACCACCTTTCTCTCAGCTGCCAGCATGTATCTGCCATTAAACTGAATGCATGATAGAAGTGTGCTCCCTAAACACCCACAGCGTTGTTAATAAAAGAGAAGGAAAAATAATTTAAATCAGGAGCAAGCCTGCAGGTGCAGTGAAGGTTCTGGGCCATAACTGTGCATCTTTCTTTTTTCTCAACTAACTTTTGCCAGGTCTGTAGTAGAGCCCCAGGGCAGCTCTCTGGCCACTGATTGCAGATGGAGACTGCAGGCATGTCCCACATCCACAGGGTCTGCACAGGGCCAGCACCCTGTCCTAGCACACTGGGGTGCGGGCAAGAAGGAAGCCCGCGTGTACCATCCACCTGGGAGCCTAGTGCTGCTCAGGGAAGGTGCTTCTCTGGACCACCATCATCCTTGGGTGCATCTGCCCCATGCCACAGCCCCTCCAGGCTTCAGCCCACATCGTCAGGCTCTAAGGGATCTTGATGGTGCCCACAGGCATTTTAAGCTAGGAGAAACACTCCTGCAAGTAGCAAAGCAAACCCCTTAGCAGTCATGACTCTCATTTAGTTTACTCTCAAGGGTAGTGAGAGCAGATTGGTATCCAGGCTGATTGCGCTACAGGTAATGAAACTGCTTTGCTGTGAGTGGCTCTATCCCCTCTCCCAGAAAGAGGTCCCCTCAACTGAGGCAGACCTTGCTGCTTTGTAGGTGATCCTTAAAATGACCAGCATGCAAGCAGGGAAGCACATAGGGGACAGTGCTGGGGCAGAGCATAACCATTATGTTTGTGATTTCCTATTTGTGCTGTGGTAACATCAAAGTTTGGGCTGGTGTCCATGCACTCACCCAGCCTCCCACCTCTCACTGCAGCCAATGAGCCAAGGGAGTGCACAAGCAGTGGGGTGTGGGGAGCAGGGACAGGCAATGCTCTGTGGTGGGTCTGTAAGCAGAGGAGGCTTCATAGTCAATGGGGATCCTTTAGTATCTAATATGGTGATAGAGTTGGGTGGAGAAATTTCCCCTCTACTTTCCCACCTGCCTGAAACTTGAAGCGACTTAATCCCTTTGAGGCTTCTACCCTAGGGCCAGGTATACTTGAGGAGGGCAAAAGCTATGGGCAATAAGGACAATGGGATCATGTGAACCTTGTTTTCTTAGGAAAAGAGATAAAAGAAACAAAGAGATATAAAATAATTTCAAAAATTATCCCTATCACTGCTGGCGCTCCTCAACATGGTGGTTTTCACCCACAAGCCTCCTCTATAGCCACAGGGCAAAATACTGCAAAGCATCCCACTGCCTCCCTCTGCAAAGGCCCCACAGAGACCTGCAGTTCTCTAGCATGTACAACACAAGACCAAAAAGACAGTAATTTCTTCAGCCCTATTCAATCTTGAGCCCAAGCTGATCAACCCTACCTGCCTCCACCCGTCTGTTCTCATACGCCTCTGGGCTTTCTGACACGGTGTTGTATTGCTGGAAAGGCTGGTTGCTGAAGAGATTGTCACACAAGAGGCTGCGACAGAGCTTCTTCAGGAAGCGCAGGACATACCCGATGCTGTTCACCACCAACACATTCATGAGATGCTGCTTCCCCTCAAAAGAAGCTGAAACTGGAAAGCAAACAGGAACAATTCAATACCTGGGGATGCATGGCAGGAGAAAGAATGACAGCAGTGGAGAAGATTTCACACAAATATTTGTATGCCTTAAAATATTTTATGCAATTACCCCACCTGAAGAACAAAAAAATATTGGAGGAGCTTAAGGAGCTGAGTTTGTGTGAGCGAGATCACCTTCCCCTTGGGACACTGAAAGATGCATGGCCAGCAGCGCAAGGATTTCTAATGTATGCATCCAACTGAAAACTGTACTGTATGATTGGAAGGAGGCAATTATGATACCTTGGTCTAAGGAAGGGGAAAGCGATCTGCCAATGATGGGCTATTGGGCTGACTTCAGCAATACACAAGGTTTTAAAAGATAATGGGGAGACAATGAATAAAGACATGGCTGTGGATGAATAAAAGGTACCAGGGTTGTACTGAAGGAAGGACAATCAGCTTCATCATGGATCTTTATTTATGGATTTAATTGTATGTATAGGCAAGGGGAGGTTGGCAGTGGAATTCAGTAAAGTATGAGAAATTGTTCATCAAACTGGAAAGGATTGCATATGGAACGTGGGTCGGGAGACAGCAACAGGCTTTGCTGGCAGGTAACCCCCAGCACTGGAGAGGAGCCAGCAGTAGTCTGTGCTGGCACAGAAAGAGTTTGTTGATGCTCTAAGCTAGAGGCATTATCAGTGAGGACTGGGAGATTGTACAGAAAGGATTGGCTGATCTTGAGCTCTGCAATAACAAAAAAAAAGGTGGAAAAAAATACCAGAAAATACTTGGCAATCCATTATCTTTTTAAGGAGCTTCAACATGACCTGGTGGGAGGAAAATGATGGGACAGGCTCACCAGATGTCTGTGAACCTCCAAGGTGATACAGCAATGAGAAAGTCAGATATACTTCAAGAAATCATTGAATAAGGTATTTCCAGGAGAGACTAGGGAGTGTCAATTCTGCTATATAAGGTCCTGGTGAAACCTTAGCTGGACTGACTGGCACCATACTAGTCATCCAGGCTTGAGAAGGGTGAATTCACACTTGCGGATGTGCACAGGCAGGCCACAGTGATGTTCAGGGAACAGAAAGTTTCCCTGTGGCACTGCAGCCATCACCATCTGTGCTACGCTGGGCTGTGGGAAGGCACTTGCACTTCTTTCACTAATCCAGTGACCTTCCTCACAATGCAGAGAGAACCTGAGAGAAACTCTGTATTTCAGGCCTAGCAGGATGAAGACTGCTCTCTAGAAATACATCTAAGATTGAACTCAAGGGTGAGAGCAGAGCAAGTAAATTCCTGGACAAAGCTGTCAGGGAATATATTTAGCCAGGAATCAAAAAGGGCATAGCTCCCAGACATCAGAGAGGTGGAGGGGTCACAACAGACCCACCAGGATCAATTGTAGCAGGTCACATTCAGGTGTCAACAGGTTTGCAGGCAGGGCTACATGATCTGGCTGCCTGAACTCCACCACCTGGAGGGTTTTTGCCAATCCTATAGCTTCCCGTCACTACTAGTAAGTATAAATCGCAATGGTAGGTGTATAATGTTTGGGATAACTTCAGAGAATTCCTGCTGGCCTGAGCTGCTGTAAGGGACCATGCTTCACTGCCAGCTGAGCATCTGTGAGCCAAGCCATGGGAAGACCAGAAAGCCCATGAGAAGACCCGTCTGTGCTGCTGCTGGGTTGGGACTGAGCTGCAATCTCAAAGCCACACGATGACTGTGAGGCCATTCACTCCTCCTTGATGATTAGAAAAGGCGTGAAGTTGGGAGGAATGTTGACCAGCTGCTTTTAGCTCAGGTACTTGAAGCTGAGCCAGCTCAGAGTAATTGAGACCAAGGGGTTTGGCAGGCTTGGTGCAAAAGGTGACTCTCCTGCTTGTAATGAAAATCATATACACAGCACAGAACCAGGCAAAAATGAAGCTTTGCACTAAATTGCTTCAGTCTTGTGTCCCTGTGAACAAATCTGGATCATTCTTAGAGTATTTCTGATGCCCCTTAGGGAAGGCGCACCTGTGATTAGAAAGGAAAGGGAGGAAGCAGGATTCATAAGCTGTATAGAGGTCCAGAGCCTGAGCTCCCACACAAGTGGGTCCCAATGGCACAGCTGAGCTGCTGTGGTCCCTGCAAAACTGATTGGACTTGCAGTCCTTGGCTTTGTGTTCATGCCTGACTCATCGACTGCAGCTCACTGGAGAGCGTTGTTCCCATATTCCCATCATTTCGTTCCCACTGCATCCCTATGTGCTAAAATAATGTGGCAACACAGATATTTTACTGTGATTAAAAGAAAAATTCATGCTCAGTCTGAGAGCCAGGCCAGGGGATTCAGTGTGGGACATGGCAGACTCATCAGGACACAGCAAGAAGTGTCACTGTGGGAAGATGAGATGCCCCTGGGAAGTTCCCTCTGATCTTTGATTCTCTCTGATATATGTGCATATTCCTGCTGCATGGGGAATTTGCAATCACTGCAGCTGAGAGCAGATTTGGTTCATGAACTGAAGGCAGAGGACACACCAGCAGCTGAGCTCTGTGCAAGTTTTCCTTTAGAACATTTGGTGGCAACATGTGGCATGGAGTGGGTTTGCAATACTGCTCATCCATGTATGGCTGCACGAAAACCTCAGCTCGCAGCCTTGGTCTCAGCACTGTTGCAAAGCAATAAGCACAGAATTCTGGAGCCAGCCCTATTTCACCCCTGAATCACTGCTGCAATGCTCTTTACCAATATACTTTCATCTGACACTGAGGCAATTCCTGCAGCAGCTCATTTTACGAAGCTCTAAGTGATGTTTAAAAGCTGCCTCCCAGCTGATGTGAATGGGACAGGTAGGACAGTCAGGACTGGGGATTGGGTGAAGATGTCGAGCACTTTCCAACTGGCCTCGCACCCCTGACAAAAATGCTTTACCTGACACCGTCTCTCCTCCATAGCCCTGCTTGATGAGTGAGAAGACAGCCTTCTGCTGGAGCGCGCAGTCAATGCAGGCCTGCACAGCCTGTTGCAGGGCTGCAGATGGTCTCTCTGGCCCAAAGTGCTCCGGGAGCTGCTGCACTTTTTTTCTGTCAAGGTATGGCCCCAGGTTTGCTTGTTTGTTGACATAAATGCAGACTGCAGGCACAAAATCCCAACAGGGTTATTACAAAATGGCCCTGAGACCATCCTAGCAAATACATTTCTATCTATTTCACAGGCTCTTCCATTCATTGGTGAATTGTGACCACTTGCCACGGCACAGCCAGGCTTCCTTGCACTGATAAACCATTGCCTAAGTGAAGTGAGCTGAGTTTAGGTCTTGTTCAGTGTCACAGGTGAGGATAAGCTACATGCAACTAAAGAAGCCCTTGTGCATGCCTAGGGTCTGCTCTCTTGCAGACTACCTTGTCCATGCAGCTGATGACCAGAAAAAAATGCCCAGGGAGTGCAGGACAGTGACTAGCAAGGCTGACTTTACAGCAATGGATAAGCTCCAGCCTGAGGTATGTTTTGGGTCTGTGCTCTCTGTGCGTTTTTAGACTGGTTCATTGAGGGGGCCTCGGAGAAGCACTGGTCTGAGGTGAGTTTGGGGAAACTTTCATTCATTGCTGCTCCTGACCTTAATGCAGCTGTAATTTCTGGAGGGCTATGCTGTGCTGGGCTGCATGATGTGATGACAGAGACCCTGGTCTTTGGGAGCTGCCTGACCCTACATGTCCAACCCAGCATTCTGCAATCTGCATCACCTCGAGGGAAACTGTACATCACGTACAGTGCTAAATCCCCATTTGGTACCACAGCCATGTGACTGTGCTGCACAGGGGGGTCTGCAAAAGGATACCTCAGCCTCCCTGCAGCCAAGCCCTGCATGGCTCCTCTCATATGCCACTGCCTGCAAAGGCAGTTTCTCTACATGCCATCGGGCCTGCCAACAATAGCCAAACAATCAGTGTTCTCTTCCTAGCATGAACTTATTTTAAGCTTGGCTGAGACTAACTGCATCTTGGAGGAAGCAGAGAGAATGCTGTGGTAACTAAGGCCGACAAAGACATAGCCTAAAGTCAGGCTAAAGTGAGACATATTAGAATAGCTGGCTGAGTGTGCTCAAGCTGTCATCTCTCAAACAATACAACATTATCCTCTGACAGAAATCAGATATGTGACGAACTAAAACCATCAAGCAGAGTGGAGGACATGATGACAGCTGTGTAAAGTTGGAAATAATTTACAGTTTGTATCACCATAATGAAAATCTACTGCGACTGTCACAGTGCACTCTGCTACCCCATCTCTCACTGAACAGCAGAAGGGGCTTTAGCAGTATATCCTGGGTGAACAGGAGGATAATAGCAATCATACTTATCATTACATAGCACTTTACACCTTCCAAGTGCCAAACAAGCAAAGGGAAAATGCACCGAAAGACAGCAGTAGCATGCATGAATTGCAGGGGCCTGTCACAGTGCAGCTTTCCTGGCGTGCCACCATGCCAAACCTCAGCAAATCTGCAGGGTATGCCTTCTGCTGTGACAAGCCACTGGTTTTGTCTGGGGCTCAGCTGCAGGAGGGACTCTGCAGCCTGCAGGAAATGTGGGGGGAGCCTTGGGGGGGAATGGGGACCCTTGTGGTCTTTTCTGTGCAGATAGGGAGGTAAAAGTTGGCTTGAGACTGCCTTTGCTTCCTGCAGCCCCTGCTCTGCTGGGAGCCTACACACACCGTTGGGAAGGTGCTGGGAGAAAAAGTGCCAGCGGCACAAGGAAAGACAGATGGAGGTGTGGGGCACTGCGTCCTCAGAACCCAAAAGGATGCATAGAACCTCTGCCTTTGTGGCCACTCCATCAATGTGGTGGGGTTGGTGGATTCTGCCTCCTTGTTCCCCTTCCGAAAGAGCACTGGGCACACCCCTCAGGGCAGCACTATGAAACACCACTCAGCTGATGTTTGCCAAGTGTTTTGCAGTCTTAGCATGTGAAGGGGTAAATGAGAATAAAATGTATTATTGTCATCATCGTCACTATGTTTAGTATCATTCTGCTACCAGAGCAGATGGAAAACTTCTCCTCTGTGCATCCCAGCTAAGAAATAATGGGATTTATGTGCTGTGTTTAGATTCTAATGTTATCTAATCCATTTATCTGCAAAATCTCAGGGTAAATCAACTGTCTTGTTGATTTTCTTCTCATCTACATCAGTTTAAAAGCATTGACCTATGTTACTTCTGGTAATCTAAGCAAAAAAAAAAAAAAAAAAGAATAAGGCTGTGTTTTCCCTGTCTACAGTCAGAAATGACCAGGTCTGCTGCTGTGATAAGACGTTGGGGTTTATATGTGCTGGTAACCCTGCCTACAGTCAGACCATGGCTCCTCTGTCCTTCTCCCCAGAGCTGTAAGAGATGCTTCATGTTCACACCGGGTTTTAGTCTGGTCATTGCAACACATTTGATGGGGTGAGTTCTGGGTATAAAATTGTAGCACTCATGGGATGTTGATGTCTGCATTTCAAGAGGAATGGGTCTGACACCTCCACTAAACTTGACACATGGCAGTCAAAATACAGTCTTACATGACATCCCTTTTCTTTGTCACTGATCTAACCTTCAAAGCCCCCATTTTCATGAGCTCTGGCTATTCTGGAAAGCACAGCATCTGTCTGCTAGCCCTTGATTCCTGCTCACCCCGTGGCCAAGGAGCACTTAAGGCTGGGTACCTGTGAGAGCCTGTGGGGTGGCCGAGTTAGGTATCGTAGCTGCATCCTGGGGGATTGAACTAATATCCGGCTCCGGTGTGCTTCTTGGCGGAGAGATTGCTAAGGGAGTCATCAGGACGCGAGACTTCAGCTGCAAAAAATAACCGGTTGGGTAATGGAAGTATACACAAAATATTCCAATTTTATTCCATCTATGTCATGCCCCATGAACTCGCACTCATTAGCAATCTGCTATTGCATCACTTTCTCCAGGCCACGAGCATCCGTTCTGCTCCCGGGAGGATACTGGAGCCTGAAGCCTGACTGGTTTGCAGCAGACAGCAGTGCCTTAAGTTACAGGATGCAAATATTATCCCACCCACCGGGTAGTTATTTACACCTGAGAAAACTGGGTCTAACGCTCTAACAAATCAGCACAATGGCATTTTACAACCCTTTTCATGTGGGTGTAAACTGGTTTCCACAACTCAGAAACACGGGGTCTTTACACCATAATTTAGGGCCAAATTCTGCTCTTGGTTACAGGGGAGTAAATCTTGTGTAAATCCAGTGGAACCAAAGGGCTACTTTGGGCCAACACCTATGTAAATATGGTAGGACCATGGTCCATAGTGTGTTATCACCAGGTAGTAAATACAAACTGCTGCACTATGGCATCCTGTAATCTTTGTGACCTGCAGCCCAACTTGGGGAAGTTGGGAAACACAATGGGAACTTATGGTACAATATCATTGCATCTTTACACTGCTGGTACCTGGCAGCCTCTCAACAGTCAAGTGATGATCAGGTCCTCATAGTTACAAAGGGATGACATGATAGATGTGACCTGAAGGTACCACTCTTGCTTTTCCTTTCGCTCTGCAGGGAAGTGGGTTGAAAGCAGAAAGCCAAGCACAGAGCTGGCTGGTTTATATGTTTACGTATACTACACCGAGCTGTTCTTCTGGAAGGTGATTTTATTTTTGTGGTTGTTTTTCAGCGGACAAAGGTAAAAATGCTAGAAGTGACAAGCATTAGGATGAAAAAGAATTTTTAGCCCTGTTAAATTTGTAGAGTATTGCTTCTCTCACAGCATACACACAAACTGAGAATAATGTACAAAGTACATTTTAGGTAGAAATTAAGCCAGACCACTACCTACAAACCAGACCTTGAGCAGGTCCTGGTACAGAGTAGAAGTTATTTTGGATAAAGATTGATATTGTCCATGATTATGATTACAACTGTCTAAAATAATGGCCACAGTTTCAGTGCAATGGTAAAAACAGAAAGATAAAGAAGGGAGAGGGAAGGTTGTTGGACTTAGTGCCTCCCAAGTGAGTTTTTAATCATTAAATCTTTAGGAGTTTGGATCATTCCTCAGTTACTGGCTTACCCCAGCAAGGGCTTCACAAAGAGAGAATTCAGGGTCTCTCTTTGTTTTGGTAGCAGGCTAGCTTGTGCTGGGATGGTACCCACCAAAACAAAGAAAGAGGCCGTCTTTGTTGGGGTGGGTATAATTTTTTGCCTGCCTGAACTTCACTAAGCCCTTCCTGAACTTGCTGCTTTATGCAACCTAGAGTTTCCCCCTGAGAAGCCTCTGTGGAACGGTGGGCATTATAAGCCCAAATGGAAATGAAAACTGGCTCTTTATCCTCACACAATCCCCTTGTGGGCACTGTTCAGTGCCTGGGGCAGAGGATGTATCCCACCTGTCTCAGAGGTGAGACCACCTCCACATAGTGCCACTGCCTGCTTTCCCCTGGCATGGGCTAAATCCCTTTAGATCTAGCCTGAACAAGGGAGAAAGTGTTCAGTAAGTGAATCGAAGGCAAACTATGGATCTGACCTCCTGCTGTGTGGAAGCATAGGGTATTAGAGGCCCTGAGCCAGCCCCTGCCTACTATCAGTCCTCACCTGCCTGTGTTGTCCTGTTTTTGTAGGGTTGTCTTGCCTTAAGGTTGGGATCAGGAAAGATGAGTAGCAAAATGCCGTCAGCTTGTTTTCCAAGCAATTAAAATAAATGGGAAGAAAACAGTGTTTCGGAAATCAGGGTTCCCCTTCCAATTTGGAGTTTACCCCGTGTGAAAAGGTGAGAAGCAGCATGATTTGTTATATTCTGCAGCAACATGCTGATGACTTGCTTTTCTGTGGTGAAGTGGGGCTGGCACTGTGAAACTTTGGGTAGCTCCTATGCCAGGTTTCTGGGCTTGCGTTTGATCATACACGTATATACATGTATAATAAATGCATATATACATACGTGTGTTTGTACGTAGTATATACAGAGATATAAAAATATAATCATTTATATGGTGAAGTATATGTATACTTGTGTATATATCTATGTGTACATATACATAAATATATATATATGCATTCACACATGCACACATCTGTATAGATGCTATTTTGGAGACAGCACACCTAATAACTTCTGTTTCACTTGCATGTTGTTTCCTTAACATCCTTACTGGCTCACAGCCCTTTGGCCCCAAACATAGGCACACAAATCCCCTCTCCAGCCCTTGAGCCTCATGCACTCTGAGTATGCACTGCCCCACCAGCGCCATCAGCTCAGTGGATGTGGGACAGTGCCCAGTAGACCTCTTTATTCACCCCTTCCCTGGCTTTTGGAGGCCCAGGCAGGCTTATGTTCTACAGCAAAGAAACAGAGGTCGAGGCTTTTGTAAACTCTCTAGCTTGGAAGCCCCTTCTTGGCAGTTTGCTGTTTTAGCAGTTTACTGCAAACTTAATTGCAACAGTATGTGCCCTACAGCCTCTGGATACAGATAAATTCCATTTTATTAGGAGTAGCAGAGAATGTGCCTTCATTAGATTAAAATGAAACTGTGCCTGATTACAGGAGACAGTACACTAGTAAATATGGCTTAAATACCTCCTGGCCACTGAAACCTTGAGTAGTCCCTGAATATCACAAAGTGTAAATCTCAAAGTATTTCTTTTAAAGATGTCTTTTCTTGGACTGATTCTTCTCTATCAAAAAGCCAACCCATCCAACCGGTTGACTGATTGAGAGCTTGGCAGTAGAGAGCACATACACATCAAAGTGAAAAAAAGTGGTGAAGAAGAGAGTTGAGAGAGAAAAGGAGACAGGGAAAATGTGTCAGAGCACTTTGGGAAATCCTCACAGCAAGGCATTCAAATCAGCTTTTGAATATAAAATGTCATAAATTTTACTATGCACATCATGAGATATAAAAGGCAATGGCTGCTTTAAAACAAGATGTATAACCAACCCCCCCACTCTCATGGACCTTCTACTATGGAAAAGAGATGAGAGAAAGCTGGTCAGGGCTTTAGGGTAGGAAATAAATGTGTCTGCTCCACCAAAGTCATAGTACATTAGATGTAGATAGATCATGGGCTCTTGTGCCATTGATGACAGCTGCAGGTTTGTCTGAGTATGCAGTGGCCATGTACAGGGAGGATTGTGGAGTTTCTGTTCTGGCCTGCACACCCTTTTGGAGCAGTCAGGATTCATCTAGCTGGTATTTCTGTCATCCCACACCAGAAAAAGTGAAAGAGGGTGAAGAACATTTCCCAGATGATAGCTTTTTTTTCCCTTCTGAGCAAGTTCTCTGCCAGATTGTATGATAAAATACACAGGAAAGAAACAAGGCAAACCATGACGCAAACTTTCCCTGTACTTTTCTTAAACTGCTTACATACAGGTTGTCCCTTGTCCTGGCAAAACATTTCCTAGAAAAGGCTGGGTTTCACCCCGTCCCCATGGGTCCTTCCAGCCAGGAAGAGAAAAACACCTTCATCCCCTGCAGATGTGCACCAAGCCTGGACCAGCTGGGTCCTGCCCCATGGGCTTCCGATGGATGGGCAGAAAGGTGCCATTAAACCTACACCAGGAAAGCACAGATCAAGTACATGTTCTGAGGTCCTTGGCTGTACCTCCCGCTCTCTGTGCGTTTGGCTGGGGGTAAGGAGGTTCAGTGCGAGGAAAGTCAGGGCTCAGCTCAGTCCCTGGGGCAGAGAGGGGTCAGCACTGTGCTGGCAAAGGCAAAACACAGTCCAAGGTCTTTACCACCTTTTCTCCTTGTGTCATGCAGTACCTTTCTTCCACACAGCAAATGATGCAGGGGAGTCTGCGTGTAGCCTCCTACATCCCCTAAGTGTTTTGCAGTGAATGAGGCAGGTAACCTTAAAAGAAGCTTATGCAACCTTGAAATCCAAGGCTGTATCACAGGGCAGATGAATAATCAAGGCATTTTAAAGTTGTCTGTGCAATCTCAGTCCCAGTGTGTCTGAATCCTGACTGCTTCTTTGTCATCATTAATAGTGACTCCTAAGACAGCAAGGAAACCTATGCCCTGCAATGGAAATTGTCACTTCACACACTGTCCTGCACAGGGCGACTCTCGCTGCCCAGCCTGCCTGGCAAGAGCCTGCAAGGTCCTGGCTGACTGCTCATCCCAGGCTTGGGCTGGAGACACCTCCCCAGGCAGAAGCTGCTTTGGTAGGAGCAGCACAGGCACAAATTGCCTTCGGGCTGCTCGGGTGGGGCCATCTCTTTGATGCCTTCTGAGTGGTCTTTGTTGCAGCGCTGCCCCATGTGCCTGTCACTCTGATGTCCTCTAACAACACAAATACCCCCGTGAGGCTAACTAAGCCTTCCCTCATACACACTTTTCTAGGCAGCCCTTTGAGGCTGCCCTTCACTTACAGCCAAGGAAATAAAACCTGGCTATATCTACTAACCTACCAGAATAGAACTTTTCCTAGAGATTCAAACAGTCAGAAAGAATATTGTATTTAGGGGGAAATGTAGCATTTTATGGCAAATAGCTCTGCGTCAGATACAAAACAGTTTTGGGGAAAACAGCTGATGAACTTTTATAACCAAAGCTGTGATAAACAGGATAGCGAGGAAAGGACTTTACTTGATGGTGAAGCGTGATGAAATGTCATTTTAGGAAGAAACAGATATTTGCTTTAATATCAATGAAAACAGGCAATGGGTCATCTGGCTATAAAGAGAATGTCATTAAAAATGTCTGTTATTCACATCTCGGTCAAAATATATTTAAATCTAGGCTGTAAAATCCTAGTTTGCTAAAAATTCAGAAGTATTTTTCCATCTGCTGTATAATAATTCAGCTATCTGGTTGCTATAAAGAATTTGGTTGTCTGCCATTTGGGCAGGGAGTCATTTTTTAAAATGCATTTAAGTCTCATGGTATCTGAAAGTCATACAATTAGCAAGCTAATTAAATCAAGCTAGAGTTCCCTGTCAAAAAACATGTAATCTTTGACTTGCTCTGGGGAAGAGGTTTTGTTGGAGAAGGGCTCACTTCAGCTGAGCACACAGTATACAAAGGCACATCGCAGAAAACATCGCCTCAGTATACAAATCCTATAGTGCAAATAAACAGCACCAGGCCAGATACCACTGATGCTACAGCTCACGAGTGTCAGCTCCAGAAATTTAAGCCATCAGGTATAAAAGGATGCCTTTTCACTCACCATCAATCATCCCAGTTTCACTGCCTAATGAGGGATGCTGTCACCTTCCCATCTAAGTCCCTATAGATGGGGAGGAGGCTTGTGGTACCCAGCTCGGGGAAAAGCTTCCCTTCAGAAGAAAAAGGGGAAACAGTAATAAAGTTGCTAGCTATGTCTAAAGCTCAATGTTGCTGCAACATTTTAGGCAATTTATGTCTCCCTTTTCGCTTCTTCCATTTACAAATCCATGGTGATTGGTGAAAAGCTTTTTCGCAGGTGCATTTGGGGTGGAACAGAACATACTCCCCAGCAGGTTTTTTGTTTTCTGGTGGTGGTGGGTTGTTTTTTTTTCCCAAAAAAATCAAATCAAATGTAAATGCAGGAGTAAGAAATGGGGTCTGCAAGACAAGCAGGGGCAGAATGGATGGGTCTGCTAAAACTTTGCATACAAGGTCGTTGTGGTGTTTGGCAAATCATTTAATCATCTCAAGGACTCAATTTCACCACATCTCCAAAGTATTATTATCCCAGACTTGCATGGTTTTGATCTAAAGAGCTTACAAGTGACCCAGCTTTCCTGATAATATAAATTATTACTTGTAATAAATAAAGTACAAAAAAAAAATAAACTTATAAAAACAAATATCTCAAGTAAAACAATTCACATGTTTCTGTCCCAGAGTTATAACCTAATACTAAAGTGAAAAATAATAAGTATTTTCATATCTCACATTTAGCACTAGAATATTTGCCCCAGTCTTAGTTTGGACATGCAGCTCTATTATGGGGTACAGCTATAAAACAGTGGTAATCTCAAGAGGGGCACCTGAGCCTACTGACAGGTTGGCCCTGCTTGGCCACTGCTGTTTTATCGTTTGTGTTACCAAAGTTAAGGCTTTTCAGAAGAAATGGGAAACTGCAGCTGGGACTGTTTCTTAGCTATGCAAGGTCTGTTTTCAGCACACACTGAAACACACTTCAAAATGTGCCCCCATAGAAGAGAGGGGCTGTCTGATGAAGAAGGAAAGCAGGGAGAGATGCAGCAGAATGCAAAAGATGAGGAGAAAGCATTAAGGGCTGAGGTACTGATGTGTACTGCAGTAGGTGTTGCACAGGGGGACACAGGATGGAAATTATGGAAATGGGATGCAGAGGGGTTGCCTGGAAAAGTGAAAGGGAGGATGGAGAATAGAAGCTGGAGGATAGGAGGAAGAAGAAGGTCTGGTAGGAGGTGAAAAGGAGGGAAGGGCAACAATTACGGTACCCTGCCCTAGATAAGCCCAAACCTAAGGAGCTGAGACATTTGGTCCCTGGGCCCAGAGCTTGGCCATGAACAAAAAGAGACCCAGAGAAGAGCTGGACTACAAGCAGAGCCAAGACCTTCTCTAGGGAAGGCTGAGACAGGCCCTGTGTATGCATCACTCATGTTACTCTCTCCGCTGTTTTGACATCAAGAACTTAAGCTGCTATTATTTTCTAACAGTCTGCAATTTGCCCTCCTTGTGTAACAGACAGCATATACTCCACTTGGGGTCACATTGAGAGATGGGCACGATCTTCCCCCAGAATGAGGAGACATAATCAAAACTGCCCTTCCCTCAGTAAGTGAAATCTCCCTACTTTCTAAAGTGTCCTTTTTTTTTCTGACATTAGCTTTATTTTCTCTTTTATTCCCGCTCTCACATATTCCTTTCCTTTTTCCTTTCATTTTGTTTCATTTCTAATCACTGTTAGCGACAGAGAAGGGAAAAAGTGATAAATCAGAAACACTTCGCAGAAGGTGTGCAGCCATCTCACACAACACTGGAGAACAGGATATTTTCAAATAACGCAAATTAAAACAACCATACACTTTACAAAAAAAGATTCCCTCTTTTTTACCAGCTCAGGGAGAAGAGAAACCAGCTACTTTTATTTTTTTTTTTTTTTGCATTACTCTTTCCAGCACTTATACAACTTTCCCTCCGTGCCTGCATTTCACCTGAAACTCTAACAGAAAATGTGTTAACACCAGCAGGAGGTGGAGAAGGAGTGTGAAAATCGTGTACCTACTTTGTACCCCGGCTTCCTCCCTCTCTTCTTTGGGATCTTCACGACTGGCAAAGCAGCGGCCGGTGCGGAGTAGAGGTTGTGAACAGCCACTTTGATGGGTGCCGGCTGGAGTGGAGGCCGCCCTCGCTTCCTCCCTGCCATTCGGGGGGACTGCATCTCCTCTGGGGCCAGGCTGGTGGGCAGGCACGGCAGGTGGCTCATCTGCCCCGGGGCTGCCCAGCAACCAGAAGAGAGAAGACAAGAAAGGAAGAAAAGGAGGTTTTTACTGATTTTTTACTTTAGGTTTTTCATATGAAGGAAGTTTTCTCATGCTGTCTTTTTCCATCTTAATCATTGATAATAAAGCAGCAAGAAGTACACGTGGGTGGGATTCACCTGTCCACAGCTGGCTCAGTTTCTCCAAATCAGGACAAACACCTTGTCATGCCTGTTTGCTTCTGCTGACTACCAATACAGTACAGGGATGTGGCTCAGGTCTCCATTGCAGATGTTTAATAGGTGAATGCCAGGACAGACACCTTAACCCTGTATCCCGCAGATAAGCATGATGAAGGCATGACCTTGCACCCATCAGTCAGTTCCTCCTTTCAGAGTGGGTTTCGAGTAGATGACCTCCTGAGGTTCCTGTCAACCTGATTTTTTTCCCAAATTCTGTGGTTCTGCAAATCCTTCCTCACCTCAGAAGTGCTACTGATACCAAAACAGACTTCCATCTGTTTCATATGCAGCAGTCCTAAGTAGAGTGGCTGAACTGGACCAAGAGGCTGCCAGCACAAGTTAGCCACGTTAGAGGAGAATTGCCAAACGCTTACTCCCTGCAATTTTATAGTAGCTGTTACCACGCATGTTAGTAGTGAGCTTTTGGATGTACTCCATCAAAAGCTGTTATTTCACCACAACTCCATGCAGCTGATGAAGTTGAGCAGGAGTAATGGAGTGGAATCTGGTCCATTTTCCTCTGACCAGGTTTTAATAAAGAAAACAAATATGCAACCATACACAGAGTACCAAGGGAATATACAGCATTCTTCACAGCTTCTGGCAAGGGTCACATACTAACAAAGGTCAATTAATAAAAAAAAACAACTTGCAGAAATACATTTTCAAATGTTGGTTCATCCAGGCATCTGCTTTCCCGCACGTGGGCAGAATACCAGACCCTGTCCCGCCTGCATACACTGTTAGACATAAGGGTCTAAGCAATCCTCATGCTTTTATGATTAGCCTTGCAATGGCTGACATTTTCAATTTCATGCTCCCTCAGGCCAGTGATAATGGAAGACTCTCTGTTTTTACAGAGCAGACTTATAGCCCTCTCAGCTTCAGAGAAAACTTAAAGATGTGGCCAAAGAGCATCCTCTAAGCTTAAAAAAAACATTCACCAAGTAGAGGTTTGTTTATTACTGCAAGAAACCTACATTTTTTAACAAAGTCAACAAAGTATAAAATCTACAAATTTCTCTTCAAATCTCACAATTTCAGAATGCAGTGTGATCAGACTGATCAGAGCTGACATTGCTGGGAAAGAAATTGGCATTTCTCATCCACATAGTGGGAAGAGTAACACTTGATAGGTGCCTCTGGTGACAAGTGTCTGCAGCTGGGGGCTTCTCTGCTTCAAAGGCAAGCACGTTTTGCCTAGGTAAAACTTCATAAGCATGACTAACAAGCATCTCACTTCTCTGGTCTTACCCATAGCCCAGCATCAGCTGCCCACAACTCATGCAAACACTGAATGTCTAACATCAGACCGGAGCAAACCTGCAGTGCCTAATCTACCCTATTGTCCATGGCCACCATAGTTGCACTCTCCAGACATGCTCAGCCAGTTCAGGAGCCACCTGAGGGCTCTGATATTTATCAAATAAAAATCTCATCTGACTGAGGGTATACTTTCAGGGTTAAAATAATCAGGCTTGACACAGCAGGAGTCAAATGGAAAGGCTCTATCTATCCTGATCATCACTGCTTTCTTTCTGTCTTCAGCAGTGTGCGTTTTCCTCCCCATAGTGCTTTCTGAGGGACACCCTGCATGTCTCTTCCACCTCCCAAAACAAAACATCCCCAGGACATTATATTACAAGCTGACTGCAGGCAGGGAGTTCAGCAGGGAAGGGAAATGCACGGATTACACCGGAATTGGCACAAACCCCCACTATGACAGCCCACTGCTTCAGGCTTTGCATTTTGGTCTGCTTTAAACAAAGCCTGGCAACACAAACTTTTGCAGAGGAGCTGGGCAGAGGCCAAGGAAGACAATCCCAGCACAGGTTTGTTCCCTGCCTGGGGAAGAGCAGTGGTGGGACCACTGGTGGCCATGAGTCTGTGAGACAGAGGATATGAACCTGCCCTGAACACCACACTGCATTGCTTTTATTGTATTGATGGTAAACGTAGCTGGTGGCACCTCAGGAACTCTGAGAGTTAACAGCTCCCGAATCAAAGGAGCTGCTGACCTAGAGCACTTCTTCGACTGCAGTCTTGCTTTCTTTTGCAACTGGTGAAGTCTTAACACGTGCTGGTTAGAAAACAAACTAAATAGTAGCAAACACTTTTTTTTGTCTCACTCTCTGGTCCCTACACTTGTGCTTTAGCAAAACCTCTTAAAACTACTTGCCACATTTGCTGACATACCAGATTCAACCAGATTGTGCACAAAATGATCTCAGTGTAATGTATTTGAATTGACTCAGCAAAGACAAGAAGTCAACTGAAGTAGACAAGCTGTTGTTATCACACTTAATTACAAGCCCAACCGTGACTTAATATCTTGAATGCTAAGGGAAATGGAGAAATGGAGAGCATCTTTGGTGGCTGTGTTATGCTGCTGCAGACCCTGAAAGACAAATGTGCTCCCCAGCAGCGAGCGAAGGCAGCAGACAAGCAAAAATTGCCTCTGTCTAATGGTGGAGAGTGACAGTACAACCTCCTCTTACAGAGAGGAGAAAGCTCTTGCCAGGCTGAGAAAACAGACAAATTACAGATTGGCCAGAGGGGCCAGAGGGACACCAGGGCTTATCTGACTGCCCCTCAACAGCATCAGGGTGTCACCTGGAAAGGACTTGTCATTTGCCAAGGTGAGTGGCTCCAGAGAGGAGCTTTCACCCCATGAGTGAGGGGAGACCCTGCGTGCAGGAGCCTCAGTTCTGAGCAGCAAGAGCTACCAAGGTAGCCTCGAGCCCTCGCCAGGTCTTGCCCAGGAGCCGGCAGGTCTGCTGAGGAGAGCAGGGACTCACAGGGGCGGTGCCAGGAGGGATGGCAGCAGATTTGGTGGCCTCCTATGATGGGGCTACAGAACTGATGGACGGGGCAGAGCAGTTGATGTCATCTACCTGGACTTGTGCAACACATTTGACACTGTCCCACATGACATCCTTGTCTCTAAATTGGAGAGACATCAATTTGATGGATGGACCACTCGGTGAATAAAGAACTGGCTGGATGGCCGCACACAAAGAGTTGTGGTCAATGGCTCAATGTCTGGCTGGAGACCAGTAACGAGTGGTGTCCCTCAGGAATCGGTGTTGGGGCCGGTCTTGTTCAACACCTTTGTCGCTGACATGGACAGTGGGATTGAGTGCGCCCTCAGCAAGTTTGCTGATGACACCAAGCTGTGTGGTTCGGTTGATACGCTGGAGGGAAGGAATGCCATCCAGAGGGACCTTGACACACTTGTGAGGTGGGCTGATGCCAACCTCATGCAGTTTAACCATGACGAGTGCAAGGTCCTACACCTGGGTTGCAGCAATCCCAGGCACAGCTACAGGTTGGGCAGAGAAGAGATTCAGAGCAGCCCTGCGGAGAAGGACTTGGGATGTTGGTCTATGAGAAACTTAACATGAGCCGGCTGCAGTGAGCGCTCACAGCCCAGAAAGCCAACCGTATCCTGGGCTGCATCAAAAGGAGTGTGACCAGCAGGCTGAAGGAGATGATCCTGCCCCTCTTCTCTGCTCTTGTGAGACCTCACTTGGAATACTGTTGTCATGGTTTAAGCCCAGCCACGCAGCTGCTCTCTCACTCCCCCTCCCTTCCTCCCCCCGCTCCCCGAAGGATGGGGAGGAGAATCAAAAGAATGTAACTCCCATGGGTTGAGATAAGAACAGTGCAGTAACTAAGGTATAACACAAACCACTGCTGCTACCACCAATAATAATAACGATGAGGGAAATAACAAGGGAAGAGAATACAACCGCTCAGCACCCGCCGACCGATATCAGCCTGACCTGAGCAGTGATCTAACCCTACCAGGTAACTGCCCCCAGTTCTACATCCTGGGCCTGACGTGCTGTGGTATGGAATACCTACCTGGATAGCCCAGGTCAGGTGCCCCATCTCTGCGTCATCACACCTACCCCTCCGCCCTGGCAGAGCATGAGACTCACAAAGTCCTTGGTCAGACTAAACATGACTTAGCAACAACTAAAAACATTGGTGTTATCAGCGCTGTTCCCAGGCTGAAAGTCAAAACCACAGCACTGCACCAGCTACTAAGAAGGAGAAAAATGACTGCTACTGCTGAACCCAGGACAACTGTGTACAGTTCTGGTGTCCTCAGCATTAAGAAGGACATGGAGCTGTTGGAGGAAGTCCAGAGGAGGGCCACGAGGATGATCAGGGGGCTGGAGCACCTCCTGTATGAAGACAGGCTGAGAAAGTTGGGGCTGTTCAGCCTGGAGAAGAGAAGGCTTCGTGAAGAGAGATATAAGGAAGAAATGCTTTACTGTGAGGGTGGTGAGACACAGGTACAAGTTGCCCAAGGATGCTGTGAATGCTCCATCCCTGGCAGTGTTCAAGGCCAGGTTGGACAGAGTCTCGGATGACATAGTCTAGTGTGTATTGCCCTACCCATGGCAGGGTTGGAACTTGATGATCTTAAGGTCCTTTCCAACCCTAACTATTCTATGATTCTATGATCCTGTGACTTTCCTGGGGCAGCTCTGAATGCTGCCACAGTCTGGGCTTGACCCACAGCTCAGCAGCTGGAAAGTTTAGTGGCTTCAAGGAAAGTTAAGAGAATGTGATGCAACTTAAGGGCAAATTCAAGGAAGCAAATTACAGGCTACTAACAGAGTCACTGCCTCAGTTCAGGAAATCACAGTAGTACAGATAGCCTGAGAGAGTATTCCGGGAGGGAAATGAGTATACGTTTGCCCTGTCCTTGTACTTTTCCTAAGGCAGAAGCTTTGGACGACCAAGGATGGTGAAGCTTTAG